ACCACTAGATGACACTAGTCCTTTAATTACTAAATCCAAGTTAGTTGTAGGTTATCTTTGATCTAAAATAAGATTATCCAAATCTACTCTGCTTACTGTACTGCAGGGATCACAAACTACAGCAACATTATGTCAAAGATATAATCATATCAATTTAAGGTACCCCTTCATATACAGTTAAAATAAAAACACAATTCTAAAAAGTAATTGCAAAAGAAAAAGGTGCCCACAAATGTGTGCAAACGTTTGATACAGGTTTCGGGCCTTCATTTGTTGTTTGTCTGCGAACAACAAAGATAATATAAAATCCTAAAAATAATATAATAAATGTTTTCTACACACACAGCTATGACAAAGCATAAAAAGGCAAGCACGCCTGTCACAAACCAGAGTTTATGGCTAAAAGGTCTTGGGGGTCTCCTAACAAGAAAGTGACAGCCTGAGTTTTGCCCTCAATGCCCATCAGAGTCACAGCTCTGGCAGAGACAGACGAGGGCCCGTCCCATCATGATGGATGCCCACTCTGATGAAGAGGACGCAGCCGGGTCCCACAGCGGCAGGAAATGAGACAGCCGTCACTCCTTCCTTGAAAATTCAATCAGAGAATCCACCGATCATATTCAACCGATACAGCAACCTCGGCCCGCATGGTCAGAGCACATTACCAGTCTGTCAGTGATCCAGGGGACAGGAAGAGGAGCTGTCTAATGATGGATGAAGGAGTGATGTTAACCCCCCAACCCTTACACTCCATATGGACTAATTCTGGATTAACACCTCGGTTTAATGGGGATTATTCATCATGTTAATGGCGACAGCGGCTAATACTGACTGAGCAAAGGTCTTCAATCTTCATTGGGAGATGTTGGAAGGGAAGATGTTAATGGGAGCTGGAATCAACATAACCAGAAGGACCATCAACTCAACAAGCAACGGTAAAATGAGGAGGCCAAGCAGGTTAAGAACAAGCAAAGTTCTTACTGTGAATTTTCTGAAAGCCACTATATCTTTCTAACCCTCTGATGCTTTGGATTTGGATCTTCAGCTCACCCTGGATCCATATTCTTAACATATATTTTAGAATTTACATGTATCTATAATTTTGTCATCAGAATTTGTTCATACTGTGATTTTTTTGTTGGTTTGTTCTGTACACATTACATATTTTATTTCTGCCTAAGCATAAGACGCAATTCAGGAAAATAAGGAGACAAATGCCAAATCCTTTGACACATCCTGCATTTAGGCTACTCATGCACTCAGCAGAAATGAAGATTTCAGATTTCATTTCATCTGTGGTTACTGCTGGTAAAAGCCATTTTTAATACTTCAATTCCCAGACTTCAGTCGGAAATGTAGATTTGTATTACACATCGTTCATTAGTGGAAACCAGCATATGTAAAGTAGCTGAAATGACAGAGGAGAGCAACTGGTTTATCTGTTTACAGAGCAACCAAACAAACATGGATTGAGAGCATTCATCCTGTAATTGTGTAATGATAATTTAGTCAAGAAGTGGACCTTTTTCATCACATCATGAGCAGCCTAATGTCTAATCACAAGTATTAGTCATCAACAAAATATTGTCAATTATTAATACAAAATCATGTCAACATCCACACAATTCATCTAAGCTGTCTGACGTCAGATCATGTCTCACAATATACCCGTAAATAATCTGAAGCACATGATTTAATAGGCTTTAATGGAAAGAACATGCTGAAGAATACTGATGACCATGCTTGGCTTCAGGGGCCCTCCAGATTCATCATCATGTACCTGAGTCGGACAGTTTCCACACAATAGCTCAGCTCAGTAAAAGGAGTTGTTTACCTTGGTGTCATGTTGGAGGAGTGCTGGTTCTCACAAACCGCAGAAAGAGACTGTCACCTGCCGATTTTCATCGAACAGCTCATTGTGGATATGTTTGCTTGCTGTAATATTTCAAACTGGGCAACAAGGGCATCTCTCAGCTCATTGTTTTGGTTTTATGGTCCCCAACTTTACTGTTTTGGTCAATTTTGGCTCTCATCAACCTCATTTCCAGCAGCAGCAGGCAGCTGTTTTCAGTCTGACAAAGCTCTGATAAACCCACTGTACACTACCTGTCCGACACCAAGCAGCAGACTGACACAGTTAGCAACTAGCTGGTGAACACGGTGGAGCACTTAGCACGTAAACATTCTGAAGGTTCTGCCAGGAGTTGGTGGAGACCAAAAAAGAGCTAAAAGGAGAGTAATTGGTGGATTTACATTCATCACTTAAACACGTTATCCGTATCAACTTTAAAAGTACAGGTGTGATATAGCTTCTATTAGTGAGTTAAAATTACAAACAGTAACACTGGAGAATGTGCCCACATCGTTTCCAATGAGTCTCTACTATGTGAGTAGGCAACTGGAATCCAGTTTTAGAAAAGGAGTCAGAGACAATGAAAACTACTATATGCAGAGGCAACTACAGTTAACAATGTAAATTAATGAATGGCTATTGCTGAAATAATCCAGGCCATAAAAAGTTGGGGCTTCATACAGTGAATGCAGATTTAAACAATCTGTGTGTAAATAAACCCCTACATTCTGCTAGCTCCCTCCCTCCCAGCAAATTAAAAAAATGCAGCATAGAGAATAATATAGAGGGCGTGGCCTTGTAGCTACGAGCTGTGGGACGCAGGAGGTAACACCAACCAGAGTGACAAACTGACCACCGCTCTGTGTCTGCCCTGGAAACACTGGAGTCCACTGGAGCTTTGACAGTCACTAGAGGCACATTCACAGCTGTATTGTAACGTTAGGTGAGCTAGCAGCTCAGGGAGGCTAACTCTCCGGTATATGTGTTAGTGTCGGTACGGCTACATAGCAGGTCATAGTCTGCAGAGTGGACACGTTGGGTTTATAAGAGGGGTTGGTGATGAAAGCTTCCCAACACATACATCACCTGCCTCCAGATCAGCCAATAGTGAAATTCAACTGCAATAGCAGCTGCAATAGTTTGAATAATCTTTAACAGTAGAGGTAGGTCACTATGCTTATTTATAGCACAATATGTAGAAATAAAATACTCTGCACTAAAATGTCAAGATCTGAACCTTTATCAATCAACAGCACTACTAAATACCCACATACACATACATAGATTTTCAGCTGAACAAAGTGGTTCAAAGCATTAATCTGCTTTCACGCTTTAAGGGGTAAAAAAGAGCTAATTTGTCTCGCTGTCCATGTTCCTGTGTCCAATACTTGTGTAACTGTTACAGTGGGGAAACAATTATTTGACATCAAAGTAGCATCAAAGCAACATCCCCTATCGACCACGCCTTTTCTTGCTCTCAGCAACCAAACTACTATTAATTGCTTTCTAGCTCCCTCCCCTCTTACTGTGTTGCTGTTTCCCTCTTTCAGCTCGGTTAGAAAAAACTTACCCTGCTAAACACACATTCTTTTCCCACTACAGCTGTTAAATAATTTAACCTATTACATAATTGTTTCCTTGGCATGATATAATCCTGCCTTCATGCAAATGACAGAGAGCTGTGATTTGTTTCATGCTAGCAGTAAGGCTATGGTGCTGTGGTCCTAATGGGAGCTGTGGCTGTGTGTGAGTCATCCTCCTCAGGCTCTTATGCTTGCCTCTAATCATCCCCCCGAGGAAGGATAGGAGGGGAAGGAGCAGTCAGGAGGAAAAGCACATTGTCTCAGCAAAGATGAACAGGACAGCCTGTACATTGACACTGACATACTTTCCACAGACTGGTTTTTAACTTCTCTGGCTGGGCAGTACACTAAATATTATCAGAACTGTACAGAAAAATACAATTACAGTCACTCTACAGTACACACTACTGTTTGAATGCTGTCTGTGCAGAGTTTGACAAAAGAAAGATGCTTTCACATTCATCTGCTGAGAGTGGAAAGTTTCTCTGTGCTCATTGAATATCTGATTTTAAGGGGCGGGGCCTACTAGAAGGATTTGTGACATCACATATAGTTTGGAAGTCCATCCAGCATGCAACTTAAGTGATTAACATTTAAGGAGGATCTATTGTCAGAAATGGAATATAATATTCATAGGTATGTTTTCATTAGTGTATAATGACCTGTATGAATCTCCTAAAAATACGAATCTTTTGTTACTAGAATTAGTCTTTTATATCTATATACCTTTCATACAGGCTATTTATATTAGACGCTGTAGGCCACCTTCCATGGAGTCCGCCATGTTGAACCGCCATGTTAGCTACAGTAGCCCAGAGGGGTCAACCAAACACTGGCGTTAGATATTGGCGTTTGTGGTTTTGCGCATTTTCTGGCCCCCATATTTTCTCCTTCATGCTTGGACGGGGAGGGTGAAGCCAGGGAGTTGCAGTCTGTAACTGCACCACAAGATGCCACTAAATCCTACAGACTGGACTATTTGAACTAATGATATTCAAAGGAATATGTTGATTTAAGAGTTGTTATTTCTAGTTAAATGCACTGCATTTATATAGCTTTTTTAACCAAACTGCTTTACAGTTTGCATCTTTACACAAACACTCGACAACAAGTTACTAGGCAAGGCACTGCTCTGATCATCAGGTGCAATTCAAGGTCCAGTTTTTTACACAAAGACACTTCTACATGTGGACAGAAGGAGCTGAGGATCAAACCGCCAACCCTGAGATCGGCCCACAACCTGAATCATCATGAATATAGCTAGCCTTCTAGCTGTGTAGGAAGATGGTGTCCCCATTCTTAATCCCGCCCACAAAGCTTTGATTGAAGTGTTTAAACAGCCATCAGTGAACACAACGGCTGTGAAAATGTAAGATCCTGAAACCAGGCAGGGCATAGATGCTGCTCAAAATACACTAAAGTTACAATCTAGAGCCAACAGTTCCTCCCTTCACAACTCAACAACACAGTAAAACCGTGTCTATCTGGAACCCCCAGGCCTTGACAGACATGGCGCTTTAGAAACACTATGACGGCCAAGATGTGTCTCCTGTGAGTGGACTCACGTTGTAGAGGATGTCAACCCATCCCTCCATGGTGATGCACTGGAAAACGGTGAGAATGGCGAAGAGGATATTGTCAAAGTTGGTGATGCCAAAGCTGGGTCCGATCCAGTACTCCTTACAGGCGGTGCCGTTGCTGCAGGTCCTTGCCGGCGCCTCCAGGCCACAGGGAAAATCTGCCGCCTGCTCACCTACAGCCACAAACATAGAAATACACAAACTGAAGTATTTGTAGATGAAGGCAGGGGATGTATTATGTGAAAGAATCTCTTATGCTAAGATACAGAAAAATCATGCCAGCTTATGCATAATATATGGGTTTAACTACAAAGATACAGAGGATGGCAACATTTAAGCTGAGTGCATTTGACCTCATTTCCTGTTTTTATCCACAGTGACTTACAATTAGAGTTCAACCAGTGCTGGCTCTCCAATGTTGACAAAAACATTCAAGGTTATATATATGAGATTTAAAACATTAATATAGCAGCAAACAACCATTTGCTATATAAAGATTTCACATATGCTACACATTTTTCCTTTCAAAGTTCCTCACGTTTCCAGACAGTCTCTGAACATTTTTCAGATCAAATTTGATTTACAAATTATGTTTATTATGTCAATGAATGATTGATAAAATCCAATAGTTAACATGTATGTTGTTAAGGCCCAAGCAGCAAAGCACTGCGAGGACCCTATGGAAACTGCTTGGGTTATTATTTTATTCCCCAATGAATCCCATTTTTGGAGGTTCCAATCACTACATAAGTGTTTAGATAAGGCTGATACTCCTTTTGTTGTTTGTGATGCTATTCAAAGATATTGCTGCATTTTCTTTTAATTTGGTTGCAGATTTGTACGGATTTGGTATAGTAATAAGCAGAGCTGGTGCTAAGCATAGGCTGCATAGGCTTTTGAGTAGGGCAGCAACATGTGGAGGGGGCCACTGCCAAGAAAATAGCACCACAACAAATGATCATTAATCATAATGGTTTATACAGCGCATAACCACTTTTAGCTGTCATTAATGGTGACGATAGCTTCTTCATGTCTCTCCTCTGCAGAATAGAGTATGGGGCTGCCTGCCACCTGCTTTGTTGTTACACGGTGCTTGTTAATTTAATAGTGATTACATTTTTTTTCCAGTGAGATATTATTGTTTATGTAATGACTTTGCTGTTCTATATTTAGTTATATTTAATATAGAATTAAATTCTAATTCTTGTTCATTTGTCTTGCTAATGACTGAATGTAATGTAAATGCGTACAAACTGTGTGTATTTTTGAATTAAAAACTGTAATGATAATAGTCTAAAATTATGTGAAAATGCATAGTTTTCAGTCAAATAACGTCACCATTTCTTGGGTTAACATTCCAACGTTTTAACGGGGCAGAATGGTGTGTTTTGTTGTTTCAAGTAAATTTTATTCAAATGATGAATGAATGAAAGATACACATAACAAAACTAATTCCGGTCCCTAGCCCTGAGCCAGGGCTTGGTGAGGGTGGGACCAGCTGGCCTGTGTATATGTTGGAGCATATAATGGTGAAATTTGAGAGACCTCAATAAGATACAAGACAATGGAGTGTTTTTGGCAGCTATAGTACAACAAACAAAGGTGCAGAAAGGGATCAGGTTTTATGTCACTGTACAAACCATTGAAAAATGTCCTCAGCCATGACAAACTCAACTTATGCCTTGGTTAATACCGAAAACTTGTTTATGCCTTGTTCTCCTCTTGCTCACCTGTGTCTATCCTGAAGCAGGTGCGATGGAACTTGCCCATGTAGAAGTCGAGGCCAATGATGGCAAACATGAGGATGGCGAAGAAGAGCAGCAGGCCAATCTGCAGCAGAGGTACCATTGCTTTCATAATGGACTTCAATACCACCTGCAGACCTGATGCAGACAAAGAGAACATGCTTTTGAAAACACAGGAAATAATTTTATTTCATTATGTTTGTTTTGCCTCTGTCTCTGAACAGGGTTAACGGCTGATGTATCAGGGCTTTTGGTATAACTAGTAGATATCTGGAAAACGGATATCCGGGCCAAGAGTTCCACTGTAGCCTGATTAGCAACTTGATACGCAAGAATGAGAAGCTAATAAAACTGGAGCGGCAGTTGTCAATGGGCACAACACCAGATTTTTTTGAATGACTGAGCACAACAGTGTTGCAGGCAGTGAGTCTGGAGTCATTGGTTCTCTTGGTTCACAAAATTAAGACGGAATTACGCCAGATTGCATTTCAGACCGCATAAAAAGTGGTCTGAAAAGATTCTTGGTCTTGGGAACATATCTGTGAGAAAACCCAGTTTGCCAGAAATTCTGTTTATATAGCACTGACCTGTTTCCCCAATTCCCCAGTCTACAATAACTGTATCTGCTGCCAAATTAGAGAAGGATATGTTTTTTAGTTTGTTTTTTTTTGCTACATTTGTTTACCCCACCAAAGTTGCAGGAAGAGGTCAGGTCAGGTCAGATGGTGGCTGTACAAAGAGCAAGATTGTTATTCTAGAGTCCAGGGTGTGCATCATGACCACCATCACAGTTTTCAATTAAACGCTAATAAATGATTCTCTCCTATGTGCTGCCATTGCAAAAAAACAAACAAATAAGTTGTCATTTTACTGATAGGTTCAGTATCAACATTTTACATTAATCAACAACATTTACTCATTATGTTAGTAGAAAATACACAGATCAGCCATAACATTAAGACCAGGGTGCCCAGGTGGTCATAATGTTATAGCTGATCGGTGTATAATGCAGTCTGCATTATGTTACCTTCAAAATGTATTTAGTGTTGCGAGTTAGTTTTATATACATGTAATTTCTACAATATAACATTTTATTTCTGTCACAAGATAATTGATTTAGATGATTACTTTGCTTTGTTCAACACCACTGAAATACCACACTATCTTTTGTTAGAATGCTTGCTGCTCACTTATCTGCATCACCATCATGTGACAAATGAAACACATGTAGGAGGAAAGCCAACATGTTATTTTGCGTTCACACGTTTGGTTCCATGACATTTGTGTGTGTATTTTCTTCCCAAAGGGTGTGAGCTGTTGCAGGAAAGGTTGCAAGGTGTGTGTGCTTGTTCATACTGCTGGGTCTAACATTGTTTTTTGTATGGTAAACAATTGTATGCTGAAGTTATTCTTTAAGTGCAACTGTGCAAACACTTTTTAGCTTATACGAAGAACATTGCTTACTTAACTACTTCTAAACCTTTCATCTGGACAATTACTGTTTAAGGTGAAGTGAATAACACTGATTATCTGGTTATAACATGGCTCCTGTCAGTGGGTGGGATATATAAGACAGCAAGTGAACATTTTGTCCTCAAAGAGTTGGTCAGAAATGTGATAAAATATACTTCAAATAAAGCAGGGGGCAGGAAAATAAGTTTATACACCGGGCAGCGTGAAGATTGTGAGCGACTGTAAGGCCAAGGGAATAACACTGATTATCTGGTTATCATGGCTCCTGTCAGTGGGTGGGATATATAAGAGCAAGTGAACATTTGTCTCAGAGTTGACTGTGTTAGAGCGCAGGCAAAACTGGGCAGCGTCTTGTGGGGTGTCCGGGCCACATTGTGATGGCAGTGGTCAGTATCTATCAAAAGAGCTCCAAGGAAAAGAACCAGAGACAGGGTCATGGGGGGCCAAGGCTCATTGATGCACGTGGGGAGTGAAGGCCTGCCCGTGTGGTCCGATCCAACAGACGAGCTACTGTAGCTCAAACTGCTGAAACAGTTAATGCTGGTTCTGATAGAAAGGGGTCAGAATTTGCAGTTCGTTGGTATGGGCCTGCACAACATTCTGACCACCAGGGTGCCCAGGTGCTCACAATGTTATTGCTGTACATGGCTCATAAAGAACAGAATTATTGCTAGGCGCTAGACATACCAGTGCTTTAAGTTGTTAATAAAATGTTACCAATGGATCCTTAAGCCAACAAGACACCTGTGCAAAAATGCTGAAACAGGGATAATATGATCTAGTTTCCTACCTCCAAACACTTTAACATCAGACTCAAAGGCCTTGCACACCCACACAGGAGTTTTCACATATTCTGGCTGATTAGACCTCTGCTCACACTGAGGGTGGGAGTTACGCTAGAATTACATGATGTCACCATACTCCATGTACCAATAAGAAATATAAAAGTGTAATTTGTCCCACCCTGACAGGTTCGACAAGGCTAGCAGAGAGTGGTATTTTTCAACCTGGACCCTATTTTACCACATTTTTTGTGTTGAAGTCTTATTGTATGACTTGTGAGTTCAAACTAACATATTAAAACACCAAAGTCACACAATAAGACAAGCAAACTGACTGATTGAGGCTGATCAAACTTGTCAAACTCACTGTGACAAAAAGCCTAGATGGTGTTTGACAAGAAATAACTCCAGCATGTAACTCCACATAAAACCAAGAATTGGCATTTTTATATTTCTGACTATGTGCTGATTAAACCAATGTGATACATTTAGTTAATTAGCCAGTTTCCAGTCTTTGTGCTAAAACTGGCTAATATCCTGACTCTAACTCAGTTTCTGGAATCTCTTTTATTGTATTATAATCAGTGTAGTAGTTACATTAATTGTGATAAAAGTGTTCAAATGTGAAGTATACTTACTTGGAATGCCGGAGACCAGTTTGAGCGGCCGCAGTACTCTCACCGCCCTCAGTGTTCTTAGATCAAAATCAGCCCCCACAGTGGCCAGGATTCTGCACACACAACAACAGCATAGGCTCATTACACTGTACACTGTCAGCAGCTGTTTGTCCAAAACACATCTGCACGAAAAGATCAATTTAGGTCTTACATGTAGCATCTTAAACATCAGTTAATCATTATCTAACAAATGAGACAATGTTAGTGACAGCTGGGGAAGTAATGCAAGTAATGTTGCTCACAATTAGAACACCACAGCACAAACTGGTGACACTGATATTGTATGTACCAGCTTGTATACACACGATGCATTTAGACACTTCTATTATAATCAATACAGCTGTCTAAACCGGCTGCTTAACAGTAACGTCTATTCTGTTTCTCTTTTGTGTCACTACAGTTTGGCTATCTCAGTGCTGCTCAAACGCGGGTTATACAGTTTGGCTATCTCAGTGCTGCTCAAACGCGGGTTAGGAGCCTGAATGCATCCTGGGTAGATTAATTAGTGTGCCTGGAAAGCACACTACTATTATTCCCCGTGCTTATTATTATTCTTCCGTACGTTTTTCGGTCGACTACTCCTCCCGCAGTTTTGGTCGCACATACACAAAAAGGTACCAAAACGTGCGGCTCGGTGAGGACATTAGTGCTGACTTTTCTAAGCGTTTTGCTTTCAAACAGTTTGCCGATAAATCGCCAAAAAATGAATGGGTGTGTATTGGTAGAATGGCCAACCGCTTTCAACTGCCGTTTCAGTTAGAGTGGAGAGTGAGAGAAACATTTGTTGAAAAATGTATTTGTAAACTGCTCTCAAGGCCACAAATGTCACTCTACAGAAATAATTTATAGATAGAAACGTAGGTAAATCCGGAAACGCACTGATGCGCCAGCAACGCCCTCTCACAGCCCCATCTACTCCCATGTTAATTGGAGAGAAGAAATTTTGAAAGGAGCTCGTTGCACCTGTTCTTCCTCAATCTCCCGAGGTCACATTTTTTAACTTTAGCCACTGAAACTCGGCAGTCCCATAGTCAACAAGATGACGACGCTCACGGTCTTTTCGGTTTTCATTTCGGTCGTTTTTGGTCATTCCTGGCCAATGGTTCGAGGGGATTCATTTTGAGATTTTCTGTCTCTCTCAGGAGTTGGAGACTCAAGTGCTTTGGCCTCCCTGGTTGCCACGACAACCAAAGCCTTCCTGTGAACATACACATACACGCACACACATAGCTAGCTAAAGAGAATGACAAGGTATTAAAATGCTATTGCTAGCTAGAGAGGAAGACATGGTATTAATATATGGGCCAGAGTCAGGCACACTCAAAATTTCTTTGGGAATTTTCTAGTTAAGATTTAAGATTGACTTCATTTATCCCTATTCTTTTTTTCACTCTTTTTTATTTTATACACACACAGGCTGAATTGCACATGCAGGGCTTGTGGACATGCTAACATGGAGAGAGATGGTGGAGTGATGGGCTGCCACGTTAGCAGCGCCCCAGGAGCAGTTTTTGGGGTTAGATGCCTTGCTCAAGGGCACCACAGCAGTGCACAGGGGGCGAAACTGGCACCTCTCCAGCTACCAGTCCACACTCCATACTGTGGTCTGTTGGACTTGAACCTCCGATTCCCAAGCCAAGTCCCTACACACTGAGCTACTGCCGCCTATTCCACTACACAGGCTGCGTAGATATGATGTAAGGTTTGAAAGCTTCAAAATGTTGTATTCTTTAAAAAGAGAAATATCTACAAATACTACTCAGAACATTGTACTATTGAAAAAGTACTAATCTCTCAACAGTGTTGAAATATGACTGCATTATTGTAATTGCCAGAGGTGATAAAGTGTGATGAACTGGAATACTGTTCAATGATGCAGTATGTTGATGACTGTCCAAGAACAAATTACTCGTTGAAATCCTGAAGCTTTTCAAAAGCTGTAAACACTCCTTTTACTTTAGGAAATGTACAAGTGCACAAAACATCATTGCTGTAAACACCACAGAAAATAACAATTTTCAGCTGCTAAATACAGTCAAAATGTATATGCAAAGCTTAGAAATAAAGCATGAGAACGCACAACTGCAAATCAACATTTTGTTTATGGATGATGATTTTGGTGGACTATGAGTGAGAAAGTTCTCAGCTGTTACTCATGACATGATGCATGGCTGCAGACAGATAGTGTTAAAGAGTTAGTTCTGTCACAGTCTGTCCTCAGCAGAGTAAGACTGATATGAAGATCTGAAAATGGTACAGATATTTAGGTCATATGTCATAGTGATGTCATCAGGTATATTTCGGGATTGGACTTAAACAAAATTGTGAGGTGGAAAGAGGTACTAGACAGTGTCTGTGTACTAGGTGACAGGTGACATTTAATAATTACTCTATCCAGTTGCATTATGGCAAGTGTACAGTAGGATCATCATCTTTATTAGTCATTTCTACTAGTATAGTAGTTACTGTTGCTATTGTTGTTGCTGTGCATCTTTGTCTCTCACACCACATAGTATATAGACACAGCCTATGTAAAAAACACATTCTCTGGAGGATTCAAGAACACACAGTTGACACAGTCAGTCAACATGAGTATTCCAAGTTAAAGCACTATCAACGTGTGCACCAAGATACTTATAGGACTAAACTTGTGGAATACTATTTGACTTTTTGATTTTTATTCCTTTAAAATAAAAAAGCACATTGTTATTTCTGTAAATTCCTATACTTAGATGATTAGTGGTGTGGTGCTCCTAAAATTTTCAGTAGGGAGCACAACCCTGGAAGTGCAATACTAGATCACTGGAGTGGTCGTTTCATATTGTTAATAATATTACTACAACTCCAAGAATTACCACAACTTCAGTTACAACTGTTGCTAGTATTATTCCTCTCTCTAACACTCGTAGTTTGACTATAACTAATTCTATTGCTCATAGGGAAGGTTTCTTTAATACATTTAACAGAATTTAAAATCTCTTTATTGATCAAAAGAAGATTCTTAAAAAGTGAATAACCTTATGAGAACATAAATGTCTGTTTTGACATTCCGTCATGTTGGATAGGGTACTGTGATCATATGACAAAACAAAGGTTTAAATGTATTCAGAGAGAGTAGTGCTAATCCAGTCCTGCCAGGGCCCCATTGGTGCAGCCAACCCTATGCAGCATGTGCATCAGTCAGGAGGCACAACATGTAGAATAGCAATGATCCCTGTGTGTTGGTATGCAGAGCGGTGTACAGCAGTAAGGAGGGGCAGGCAAAGAAAGAACAGCATTGCTAAACGTATACGTTAATCATTCACAGCAGAAGTTCTTTATAAGCTTGACACGACTCTTCCTGGTTGAGCTGCAGCACAGCAACAACTCTCTCTGTCTGTTGCATTTCCTACATACTCAAGACAATTCACCCTTCCTGAGTCCCGCCCCTTTTGGAAGCTCGGTCAGCTTTCTACTTTCCTGTACATAGAGATGCTAGGCTAAGTCACATCTCAAGATCTGGATCAATTTTTAGATCTAGATTAGCTAGTTAGTTCATGTTTTGCTAACATAAACTAATCTAGATCAATTGTTTTATGTAATTAGATAGCTAACCATTAATGTAGAGTTAGTTAGTAGCTCTGTCTCAGACTAGCTAACAAGCTAGCTAGCATTACATAGCTAACTCAACTTTAACCATTTTCAAAATGTGGCAGTTCTTTTAACATAGACTAGACTGAGCAAAGGAAAAAGTTGACCAAGGTTCTGAGCGAGGCTTGCTCAACTGTTATTGGAGCACAGAGCAAAAAGGGGCGGGACTTGGGAAGGGTCAGTTCTGCCAAAAATCTCCACACCATCTGCTGCATTTCATTCTTTACACACCAATGACACTGGGAAAGAGCAGAGTGGTTTTCCTTTAATCTCATTTTCTATAGGAACAGGAATGTTATCCCACCTTGTACATTTACATGTGTTCATTCAGCTCTTTTGTCCAAAGCGACTTACAAATGAGGTTCACTCCAAGCCACAGTAGATCAAAGAGAAGCCTTTGAGAATTCTTGCCTCAACACAAGGTGTAGATGCATGCACTAAGGCAGGAGAGTGGACGCAATGAGAGATAGTGTTTTTATTTTAGAGAGGGAGTGAGAGATGGATGAATAGATTAGAGAGGGAGAGAGAAATATGTCTTCAACCGATTTTTGAAAACAGGGAGGGATTCTGCTGGCTGAATTAAGTTGTTTTTCTCAACTGAAAGCAGGCGAGGAATGACATAACATAATCATATTGCCAATTATCTCCCAATATTCATAACACAAGCACAGCTAATGTAAATGTACCCATAAGGGAGAGGGGAAGCAGGTAACACTCTGCTGCTTAACATATTGGTTTCATAGAGAATTAAACATACTTAGTAAAGGATGTGCAAGATGCAGACAAAATGTAGACCATAAAAATACATTTGAATTATTTACAAATGGCTGTAGTTAATTTAGAAAAGTTTACATAAATATATGAATGTGTGTTTTCAGGATGATGTGCCTTTATAAATTTAACAGCAAGTATTTATCACACTATGAGCCTGGAGGCATTCTGTTTGCATACATAAACTCAGATGACATGAAAGAAATGTATGAGTCAAACAAATTAGCTCCATTATCAATTAGTAAAAGCTGTTAGTTTATAGCTCCTGAGGAGGCTGTTCGGGGAATACCAGTCCTCTTTTTACTGAGATGATTCAGTAGCAGAGGGGAGGGGGTTATCATGTACCGTTGCAAATAAACTATCACATGGTAATATAGTAAAGCTCGTCTGAGCATGTCCCTCTGCTACTCAAAGGTTTTAAAGTGTAGGGTATAAATTAGAATAATAAAGACACCTTCAGACACAGAGGTGGATGGAAGCAGAGAAGAGAGCGGAGAAACCTTTGTTTTCATGAACTCTCATCATGAACGAACACAGCCATTTGCAAGATGATGATGGCTGAAGTTCTCTGAACTTGATGACATGGCTCGCCTTGTGACCATCAATTTCCATAATTGTACCTGTGCCTACTCACCAGCAGGGAACAACATAC